ACGCTGTCTGTCCCTCTGTCTACGACCTCATCATCTCCTCCTCTCAGCATGGTCGCCAGTGCCAACGGCGATCTCTATACCCCCTTTCCACACATGCCCGTGATCGAAGAGGGTGTCCAGTCCAGTGAAGAAGGCTCTGTGCTTCACTCGCCTATATATGAACCGTCCTACGCTACACCGAGCGGTACGTACACCTTATCAGGTCGCAAGCTGTTACCGTTCACATGCCCGTTTGGCGTAAAAAGGCCGGTATCATGATCACCTTGGTCACTTCGACGATGCCGCCAACCAGCTGCTACCGCCTCCATCGACCTTTGACGCTCGCTATTCCGAGCCGGCCGTGGACCCGCAGGCCCGAGATCCCCACTTCCTGGAGACACTACAAGTGCCGAGCCCGACGACCATTCACCATCACCTCCCGCCCCCTCACCATCCATCTACCGACCTTTCTTTGCATGGACACCCGATGCTCGATTTGGGTGGCCCGTCGTCTCGCCTTCAGTCGGCTGTCATGACCTCTCCGTCGGAATATTCTATGCATTTATCTCAGGCCAGGCTTCCAGAGCAACAGCTCAGAATGTCGGGTGACCCTTTGCCACCGTTGCCGTCCAGACACTCTGCCGGAATGCCTGCCTCCGAGTCGAAACCCCAGATCACATTGCCGTCTGCCTCTGGTTCGACAAGGAATAATCCGTCGAGCAGCAACACAAGCCAGAGCCGTCCGCCGAGAAGGGAGGCCTCTAACGTCGTCATCGCTTGTCGGCAATGGTGAGGATGTGTTGCCCTATGTTGTGAAATTGCATTATCATGCCCTGAATTTGTTGGCATTCCAGCCGGGCTCGGAAGATACGTTGCGACTCGACTCGGCCCTTTTGTCATAACTGTCTACGGCGCAATAATGAATGTGAATACGACGCTGTGCCGAAGCGGCGGGGTCCTGACAAGCGCCCTGGGACCAGACAACGCTCATGCAAGAAGCGGCCGCCGGATGCAGAGCCAGCTTCTGCCTCAGCAAGGAGGAGAAGGAAGACTAACGCGGAGGGTGAGAGCGGTATGCTCTCGTTCGATGTCAAAGTGAAGGAGAACGTAACAGGCGGCGCCAGAAGTGCCCAACCCACGTCTCGAGGTGCAATGGATGGTATGAACACAACGCAGATGCCGCCGCAGGTAGCGTCGTATATCGACACTTCGATACCTCCTCGCGGCACAGGTCCCGACGCAATATACCCAAAAGTGAGTTCTTTCATCTATCCTGCGTGAGGAATGGCGTTCGACGACGAGTATTTATTCAGTCGGCGGTAGGATGAACTCTCACCATCGTTTCTTCGCTCTTCAGTGAACATGGACTTCTCACTCTCTTCTCCTATCGACTATGGTCCCGCTTCCTGGTGGGACGAGCTCCTCGAAATGTACAACTCAACGTCACGAGAACAATCGTAGGAGTACTTCTAATCTGTCATCATACATTCGACTCACTCTGTTCGCGCAAGCTTCGAAGCTATAATTGATGATCTCACCTTCTTGTATGTTCTCATCTTGTGGTAACATGATATCTGCCCGCTGATAGTCTTTGGTCCTAGATTCACGACAAGCAGTTACTGGCTCTCCTTCATTTGTCTTCCCATGTTCCTCCGCGATCTGCATAATCCTGTCCTCCGTGATCGCATGCAGCCGCTTATAATATCCTCTCTCGCGATGGCTACCCTGATGAAGTCCAGTGAAATCGAATGCGGCGCTCGGGGGCGAGCATTAGCACTGGCGCTACATGGCCGTGCCCAAGCATGCTTAGAGCTAGCGTGCCGCAGCCAGACCTTCGACTACACCCTTGCGGAGGCTGCACTCGTGCGTCTTTGAATCACATTACACTCAGCTGATCGTGCGACGTGATCTGACTGTCCCAGATCCTGGCGCTGTTCGAATCATCCGCCCACCCTCATTATTCTCCTGCAAGGGCTTCCAATGCGTTACAGCTCCTTGACCGCATTATCCACGTCCTTGCGCTCACTTCAATCGACCGAGACGACCCTTATGCAAGCTCCTTCAAATCTTGTTCGCCCCCTGTGGTTGATATGCCCGATGGGTATCGTCGACCGTCTCGGTGTACATGCATCGGATACTCGTCCCGTCCTGGTTCACCCTTGACTCAGGACCATCTCTCACGCTCCTACTCGTTTAATCCGCCTTGGGACCTTCAGTGGTCTGAGACAGAGACCCGCAAGGAGGAGTGCCGCAGGCTGTGCTGGTGCGCACTTACACTCGTTTCCGTCTACACCGCGCATTGCACTGCCTTCCATATTGAACCCGTGGAACTCACACTTGCGGACCCATCGAACGTGAGTATGTGCAACTCCTCTGGCAAGCATGCTCCGCTCATACGCGCCCGTTCCGTCATCCCATAGTACGCGCTGCTGTTCCCGGGCGAAGCCTACGAGCGCTTGCCTGCTCACCAGCAGGCGTCTGGTCAGTCTCCGAAGGAGTCTGTGTGGGCGCTGTATTGCCGCAGCATGCTTCTATGGAACAGCTGCAGCCGCATTCAACGCGATGCGACGCTCACCACCGAAGAGCGGGCGGAGTTCGCCATCGCCGTCTTCCAAGAGGCGCGCGAGGTCCAGGACGCACTCAACATGCACGTGTGCAACCTGGACACCGGTCTGATGTACGTCTGCCGGGAATACCTTTACGAGTGCGTCTCGCTCTATTTCGTCATACTTTCCAAGTGTACCTCACTGACGTGTTCTGCTGCGCCTTTTCTCACACAGTACTCGCATGGCCATTGCCCATGAATTCCGTCGGTATGTCGTCCGAACTCGTACATCTTTTCTCAAACCTGAACGGATCTAGCAGACTCCAGGATTGTGACGTACCGATGATGTCGCCCATGGTCCACCGCCGCCAAGCGGAAGAGTGGCGTGAGTAGACTTGCACGCCTCATCGGAACAGTTGCTGATGACCGCCATCCTTTTGAACAACAGTATTCTACCAGGACCAAGTCGCCGCGCGTGTGAAGGATTCCGTTCGTCAGCTTGGCGAAGCTGAAGGGCATCTGCTGTCTCGCCGCCCGTTCCTGGTAACGTGGTTCTCCAGCCAGGTGGCGATTTGCCTTGCCCTGTGGGATTACAATCGTACCCTACTCCGCGCGCTTAACTTGGCCCAAGCCTTTCTTATTCCCTTGGATGCCCTAAATGCCCTCTGGCCTTGTCCTGGTAAGCTCAGTACTCCTGACTCTGAGACTGTCGTTCACGTGGTGTCCCACCTATCCCGTAGAGCAAGCTTCGACCCGGGACGAACTCCGTAATCGATTGGAAGCCGCTTGCCTGTCTGCAGGACTCCCCCCTCCGCCGCCCGTGGAAGCCAACCTGCCGCCCATCCTTCGTCAATGAAGCACACGCAAAGCAAACTCAATCACTGCAAATGCCATCGCGAAGTCCCCCATCTTCTTCTCGTGCAACTTTACGTCTGCCACTATGCCCTCCTTCACATTCCGTAGCGCCGCACCGATACCCCGCTCAACTCGAGAACTACCAATGCCTGTAGCCTACTGTCTGTATATCATCTCTCCACACTCGTTGGTACCGGTCAGAGGACCCTTTCGGCTGCGTTTTACTTATCATATATACCACATATCACTTCGACTGTCTCTATATGTTTTTGCTGACCCACCAATTCCGGATCTCCCATAACCATATATCGCACGGCGCCCTTTTAATCTGATCTACATTTCCATTGAGAGATGACTGTTGGCTTACAGCAGCAGACGGGTGGCTGGGCTGTTGTCGCGTGACGATCAGGAAGCTGAAGGTAACGCCGCATACTGCCTTGCAGGCAGAAGCATCGCCTGAACGTCCCGCTTCCACGCAGCAAGCTCTCTTCCCCACCCGCCGATCCTCCTCCGTTTCCCACCAACGTGCACGCCATCGGAGCGACAGAGCTCTTCCTCACGCTTTCTCACTGCCCAATGGTTGCTGAGTGACCTACCAATACCTCAGCCGTCAGGTAATTTTCTCAAGGAAAAAAGAGGTGAACATGAGAAGAGCGGAGATGAAGAGAGCGGAAAGGCGTGGATGGACGCGAGTGCGATTACATACCACCAGATGATGCCCTCACGCGAGAACACCTCCCGCAACCTTTCCTCGCAGCCCGGACTGCACGGAGGCTCAAGCCGGAGCAGCCGTAGAAAGGTGCGCCAGCACAGTCGCGGGAAATAGAGCAGCAGCGGAGGGTCCAGCCCTGGACTCGCAGTGCGATGAGCCCAAGCGCTTGTCGGATAAGACCACTTACAAATCACATCCGTCGCCTCCGAAGAGACCATGCCGCCGAGTTTTTTCTCGTAACGACCGTCGACTATCCAGCCGCGAGGGTCCATGTCTAGTGCGGCACGGACCGATGCGCGGAACTCATCAGTTGAAGGCTGGCCCCATCCAGGCTTCCAATACAAGTTGTCTAAGGATATGTACGGTAACCGGAGTATTTTTGAGAGCTCCCGCGCAACTGTGGACTGCCAGTAGTACGATTTAGCATAAGCGATATAGGGCCTCTGGGACCTCTGCAATGGCAGGAAACAGCGCTCACTTTTCCCACACCTATGTTAAGGGGAGTTGGGTTAATCAAAGGCTACGCTACTATGAATGGGTATACCGCTATTGCCAACAATGTAGACACGAAATTTGCCTGTACCATCCCCACGTAGAGGCGGCGGTACTTCGCTGGTTCTTCCCAGATCGTCTGCCAATTCGACAGATGAACGAACCGTCTGGGCAAGTTCGAAGTCAACTGGAGACATGTACGATGCTTGATCCCCAGGGCGACCGCCTAGATGCTCGATATGAACAGAAACAAGAGAATGGATCCACGAACATGCCACGTACATACTTTATAAAGCCGTCCTAAGAGCCACCGTACAACATCCAAGACATCAGGCGGAGTCAACTCAATCGCGGTACCGAGCATAGTGACAAGAGGAGGCGTACCCTTTGGGTATCGACTCAGAGCTGAGTCACTATGCCGGGATAGCTCAGCTGGGAGAGCAACAGACTGAAGAGTTGTGTGAATTCTGGAGGTCGCGTGTTCAATCCACGCTCCTGGCATTTTTTCTGGTCGTGCTGAAAGTATTACTGAAGCCGCCCTAATTATAACAAAGTGTCATGTCCCGGGTCCGGTTTGTTATGTTATTGTCACCCATTGTCACGTCACTTCAGGGAGCGTTTGTTATCACCTGGACTATTGTCGTAGCACCTTGGTATCGGCAACTTGTCCATGCCCGCCATCCATCAGGCCCCGCCCCCCGCCATGTTAGTTATGTAGTGCCGATGTCACGTCCGTGCGCCATCCATTTGTTATCTCTAGGACCAAATTGTTTGGTCACGGTGTCACAGCCCTTTGTTATAATTAGGGCGGCTTCAGTACCGGATGTTCAGAAGTTTTGGTGTCGGTGCGCGATTGACTCCGTCACAGGATGCGCGACATAGAGTGACACGAACTCATGTGTGGTATCTGTCGCATATAGCCCACATGTAAGGGATTGGCGGTAGATTGAACAATTTGTACAGTGAATATAACTGTAAAGTAAGATACGTGAGAGCCATTTGCGGTGCGAGTACTAATTGGACAGCGGGCAGTGGTAAAACTATCTACGGTAATGGTAACAGGTTCACATAGGCGTACATTAGGTAAGTTACTTGCAACTATGGTAGCGGCGAGAGAGGGCTGAGTATACGGCAAAATCAGATTATGCTGGTGTACTGTGTTATAAAGGCTCCGGCCTTGGCGGGGCCTCCGGTGAGTACTGTATGATGTGGACATGGATGACAGAGAGTAATCGGGGCAATGGATGTAGCAGAGGAACGGTCTTGTCCAAATGGCAGAGCGTCCTGGGGCCCGATGCTGGACGGGCCTATGGGGAGCCCAGCTCACAGGTCGTGCTGTTCAATATGGCGCATGATAGTCAGGGATGCGAGCAGCTCTGCAATACACAGAATAGGGATGTCAGGCTACATTCGAAGAGAGAGGAAAGAATAATGAAAGTGGACCATACACGCACCGCCAACGAGATGAGGATAGGCTTCCTCAACAGTGAGCATACAGCCTGATGACCCCGAATATTGCGGCTCTCCCGCAGGCTTCATGCTGTAAGTCGCAATATGATAGCCGCTCCTGGCATTGGTACACTGCGCACACCGGCAATCGACCGTTAGCCTGAGACGACTAGCTACTGACGCATCCTCTGCATTAGACTCACCTGCCATTCACCATCAGATTGGAGGGTCCAGCGATAGTCCTGGCCATCGGAGGCCCTGAATTTACGTGATTTGGAGCTGCTACTGGGCGGAAGAACTCGCGTCAATGTCTGCTAATCGGAGAATGGGCGCGCTGAAGACGGACCTTCCCGACCTGGTCAGATATTGGTTCATCTGGATGTGATCACTGTCGCCAATTTTGATAGTGCCAAGAGCGTTGTTTGCACCAAAGTCGAGGGTGGCAAGTGGCACCCGAGAAGAGAGGTCGTAGATCACGTACGCGACGCGGTGCGCGTCACGAAGCGTTTGTCTAAGGGTGAGATGCATACGGTTGTGGAGGTCGACGAACTCTGAGCCGGTGATACGACCGGTCCTGTCTTCAAGGAAGTAGGGCAAACCGAAGTTGGTCATCTTGGTGAGCGAGCGTGAAATGGGCCGTGGAACGCTCAGAAGAAACGAGGGGATGGTGCAACAACAGAAAGGGAATGCAAGAGTCACAGGATGCAGAGCAGATATTAAAACGATGCTAGCAGGACGCAGAGAGGGAATCGCGGGTGGTTCGACGGAGGTGGGCGTTGGAGGGAGCAGTCGTATGAGGAAAAATTAGCGGTGGGCGTAAGATGTAAAAGAAGGACAAGGTGGGGAATATATAACGGTGGCTCGAGAAGGGAGAGAGTCGCGCAGGACGGCGACTCGGAGTCGGAGGACGTCGTCGTCTGAACGAGAACGCGGACGCGGGGCGCGAGCGAGCTGAGCCGGCAAACATACCACACCCTAGTCTATATCTGGCAAAGGCGACATCCGTCCCTTGCGACCTGCGAGACCACGCACGTCCGCTAGCTTCGCGCCTCCCGCCATCTTGCCGCCGTAGATCTGCGCCCGCATAGCGATGACAACCACTGCGTCCCTACTGCCGGCCCAGACCCTGGACGTCTACGTGCCGCTTGCGACGCGTCCTTACTCACCGCTAAGATGCCCAAAGCGATCAGGAAGGCGAACGGGCTCCGAGTGGGCTCCGTCGTCAGTCGGAAGAACCACTCTCCATTCAGATTGCAGATGCGACTCGCAGCGAACAACTCATTGAAGTGTCAGACTTTAGCAATTGCTTCAGGGCGCTAAAGTTTGAATGTGCCGCCACATGCTGCCTCGAGAACACGAAACGACATGAGCCTCCAAACAATCGCCGCACCCCAGCCGCATCCATCCATCCGCCCGAAGCAAATACACCCGCTGGCGAGGGTCGCCGAGCATGGTCGCCGACTGGTGCCATGACGACGTCCTCCATTACCTTCGCAAGTTTCGAAACACGGAGGTTCGAGGCTCGAACGACCTCACGTTGCGTGCGGCGTACGTGCGGTACGCCCTTTCGAGACCACATCTGGGTATCCCTTCGCAGAAGTCGGTCGCGGCCCATTCCTCCTCACGTCATGCATGTCACCGCGCAGCATTGAACGTGACTTGCGACATGTTGTAAGATGGCGGGCGAAGCTCGCTGGTGTGAAGGTACGCGCCCTTACACTTCAATTCACGACACCTGAGACTGCGTCTGACCTAACCATCACTTGAATGACTTCACTTCTTGGCGGCTCATCTGCTGCCATAACTTGACGTGGTCATTGAACCAGGATCCCTCCAGGGTCTTTTCTAGCCGCATATCGTCGCGGAGTTTGCTCCCATCACGTTCCATCCTGTCCGATGTACTCGGATGCTGGCCTCCGCCTCCGTGATATAACCATTCAAAGCAAAATGTGAAATGCGACCGCTCTCTAGATCTTGACGGATGACCACTATGTGAGCGAGTCTTCATGGAGCCGTGCCAGGTGCGTAGAGGTGCGTAGACGGTTCGAGCTCCGAGCTTTACGGTCGCCCGCACGAGCGACCGGTCCCCGCACGACCTGCGACCCTGCATAGGCACGCTCCTCGCGTATCCTGTGAGCTGACTCCGACGTTACGCGCCGGGCCTGTATGAGCTGGAGGCGCATTCTTGCCATTCCGGCTACGGACATGAACCCCGACAGCAGTTACTCAACGGCCATTTCTGTCACCTGCGGCAGCGTCACAGCCGGCGCAGTGATGCATCTTTCTCCTTGCGCAATCACTGTTTGTCATCGCAGCATCTCTTCGCGACGAGGACAATCTAAGCGCGAAGCAATGGCCGACGACTTTGGAACATTGACCGTCGCGGATCCTGTTTGCAGCGGCCGCCATTGAGAGGCTAGAAGTGATGCCCAGTCGAAACTCCGCGAAAGCGAGATACGTTGCGACGTGAAGACCCGCGGAAGAAGACACCTACACAAAGAACTCTGTACTTCTGACGCAGGATCAATGCGCAGGCTCGACGGAGAAGGCAAGGAGGTACCTTAGACCGCGGAAGAATAATCATCATCACAAGTGACCTTCCCGAGTCCGTATTGTGCTATTCCGCGCGTTCGCGGTCAACTACTTTACCGGTACGAAGGGATTCTCAAAAGACTCGGGCTTGGGTGACCATTGAAGTCATGCTTGGACTCTTCCGTACGAACGCCACGGGAGAAGGCACAGGATACCCTCGGATGATATATAGGTTCGAAGGATGTTGAACAATATCCAGGTCGTGAATAGAATACAGTGGATATCAAATTTAGCACAAAAATGTTCATCCCCGTCCCCACCGCGCATTGGGCTGGTCCCTCTGAGCGTTCTCTTCCCAGCGCCGGCGGTCTCGCTCTCGCTCTCTGTTGCGTTCCTCCTCGTTGTAATCCCGGTCATGGACTTTTCGATGAATGGGAGGCGTTCTCGAACGGCTCCGAACACGTTCTATGTCCCTACGGCGCTCATGCCGATCCCGCGAACGATCCCTTCGTAAAGGAGAACGGGAGCGCGAGCGGTCCCTCCGTCGACGCGACGGTGAACGCGAGTAGTCCCTTCGCCGCGAGGAATGCGAATGTGACCGCTGACGTGCCGGCGACTCTTCATCACTTGACACATCGCCCCGCCCGCGTCGCCGTTCGGCACGCTTTCTCTCTTTCTTCAGCCGCTTCTCCTCTTTCTTCTGAGCTTTACGCCGCCGACGCTCCTCTTTCTCGGGGTCCAGCTCATCGAGAGTTCCTGCTTTGGGTGCAACAGGCACCGCATTTGCGCCTGTGCCCGTACCGCTCATTCCTGGGGGCCTTGTGCCAGGTGGTAAGCCACTAACCTGGAGTCAGCACGTCGTCCATGCACGCCCGTCTGCGAATTTACGCACAGCGCAGCAGCAAGAGCCTCAGCCTCGGCCTCTTTAATCCTCCTGATTTCCTCTTCTCGCTCCGCGTCTGTCTGCTTTGCATCTCGCTGATACCAGTGAATGTCCTTGTTCTTCTGCCACCGTCCAGTCGGAGCATTGATACTGTGTCCAAGATAGTTCTATGCGGCAGTTAAGAATAAAAACGTATTGTCATCAAACGCAAGTCAGAAAGAAGGCATACCTCGCGGTCCTTATCCTGTGCGACATCCGACCACTTGAATTCGGCTTGGCCTCCGCGAGTCCCTCCTCGTACAGGTTCGAACATCGCGGATACTTCGGATTCGGCTGGGAGCGAGAGCCAGTGACGTGTATAAAATAGCCCCTGGAGAATAAGATTCTGATAGAAGGGCAGTCGGGGAGCGGGTGAGCAGCAAGCAGACAAGACTGGTGAGAGGTGAAGCTTGAGGACAAGCTTGAACTCTTTACCGAAGCTTATGGCGCGGTCGCTGAATTGAGACCCTTTGGGCGCTTGTGTTCCCTTGTAGCTTGTCGTTAGGGCGCACAATTTGTGGTCCACAAAGCCACATCAACGCCCTCATGGATAGTTTCCCTGTACGATAGACATGTGGTACGCGCAGGCATGGCATTT